TTAAAAAAAAAAACCCCCCCCCCCCCCCCCCGCAATTTTGTAAACTTACTTAAGTACATTGTCGAAATGACTGAAGGTATGTGCACCTCAAGCTATCTGTATATAGGACAAGTGGGTCATCTGCTATCCTTGCAATCGGTTTTACTTGCCCCACATAAATCCATTAAAAAAGATAAACAAATCCCTGTTACAAAAATGGATTCACAAGTTGTCTGGTGTATGAATACTGGCTCATTTAGCTACATTTATTGGATTGATCTATGCAAAAAAAAAGTCGATTGCCAAGGACAACGATTGCGGAATCCACACTTTTCACTTGCTGGCTGAAATACATTGGAGACTGCGCTTATTCGTGGATCCACCACCTTGGATGAACTGGAGGTTCACTGTGATCCATACTGACTGACTAAGAGCTCAATCTATATAATGATCCCCTGACAAGAGAATGCAATGATGGTATGTAAGTGCAGCTCTTCACTACCTCTTCTCTGTTCATTGTATAACCTGCATTCAATCCATGTTGTCACTTTCCTAATAGTTTAGCATTTTACAGTGTATAATAAAAATACAAATGTTATATATTACAGCTTACCAATCCTTAAATATGGTGGCTGCATTTTTTTCCCCTTAAGCCGGCCATACACCTTACAACCATCGCACGACTTTCGTTGTGCGATGGTTGTAAGGTAATTACAATTTCGTATGATCTGCCCATCTCGGACAGGAAGATCGTACTTGCGATCACCGCAAGCCCGCCCCACTGAGGGGAGGGCTTCCGGTGATTGCAGTGCTGAGCGGGCAGTGTGTGCTTGCGCACACCGGCCTGTACGGCATTCGTCTCCCGAGCACGCCACTAACCTGCAAACAAAAATGATTTGACAGGTTTTCAAGCGTGCTCGGAAGACGAATGTCGTGTGACCGTACAGTAGAAGAGGTTGCACACTGCCTTCTGCTAAATCGCCCAAAATCCCATCCGTGTGTACCTAGCTTTACTGGCCAGATCATCAGGGAAAACTACGAGTTTTTCCAGGCCTAGAAATTGAAAACGAATGCAGCCAACACATCTAAAGGTGCCCATACACCTTACGATTATCGGACGAAACTTTTCGTCCAATGATCGAATAGTCGTACGATTTTCGTACGGCAGCCCCATCCTGCCCCGATGGTCGCAAGATTCATTTAGCCGTAATTAACGAGAAGCACCTGGACGAAATGCGGTAATTGATTTGTCGTATATTCGTTAGCGCAAGCGCAGTGTAGATCGTACGACTTTTGACGGACGGAAACGCCAGCAACCTTACGACAACCGTACGATCTAGCAAAGTTTTCAAACATGCATGACCGTCAAAAGTCGTACGATTGTACAGTACTGTCGGTCGGACACTGCAATGCATACATACGATTATCGGCCGAAAAGTCGATCGCATACGAAAATCGTACGATAATCGTAAGGTGTATGGGCACCTTTAGAATTAGTAAGCTACAATATATTAAATTTTTGCCTTCGGGTGTAGATCCGCCTCAAAAAATAACTCTGGCCAGAGGTGTTATTAACCCTTGCAGTGGGGCTACCCCTGCAATGCAAGGGTTAGCTGCTTCATTTTGCCTAAGGTCCAAAATTAAATATACCCAAACATCAGGGCCAGCAGCGCTCCCTCCAGCCAATCTCCTCCTCCGCTGCAGAAATGACTCATCCCTCGGTATTCTCCCATCCAGTACACTGTATTGAACATGATGACACAAGGATTCCAGACCGCTGCACGGGGGGAGACGCTCTACGGACTGGTCTAGGAGCTGGCCGACTCGGAGGTTTGGGTGAGTTTAACTTTTTTTTTAACCCTAAGCGAAAACGAGCAGTTAACCCTTGCAGTGCGGGGGGCAGCCCCACTCTAAGGGTTAAAGGAGAACTATGGGGTTAAGGCTTTTCCCCATAGTTCCCCTTAGGGTAACGGGAGGACACAAACTAGCGCAGTAGACGTGTATCCAAACCTCTGTTATTAACCTTAGTGGTGAGACAAGTTGTTTTACATGCTGGTTTGTGAGTGTGCCATGATGCCTTTCTACTGTCTCCCGTCTCCCTAGGCTCAGTATACCGTGAGCTGTAGCTCGCGGTATACTGAGACGCCGCAGCTGAAGCAGATCCCGACAATTGTGCCTGTATCCCCCCAGCTGCGTGACTGACAGCTGGCTCTGCCTATCTAGAGGCAGAGCCAGCTGTATCCGCCCCCTCCCCCGCCCGTTCCGCCAGTCAGCGCTGGCGGATCGGAGCGGGGGGAATCCAGCCCCTCCCCTGTCATGGCAGAGAGCTGTGACAGGATTGAGAGGTGAGCGAGCCCGTATGTGTTCGCTCACCTCCCGATCTACTGAGCCGACCTGTGACGGTTTAATTGTCACAGGTCGGCTAGAACTATGAGGTGAGTGAAAAGCACTCACCTCATAGTTCTCCTTTAATAAAATGTGTGGCCGGAGTTCTTCTTT